CGCGTCCGCAGAATCGGGGCTACAGCGGCCCGGGGGCGGGGCGGCGAGGCGGGCCCTGGAGCTGCTTGGGTAGCGAGAGTSAAACGTAAACAGGAACATAGTGAAGAATCATAATGGTGCACTGTAAATAGACATTACAGCCCACAAAATAAGTATTATACCCTACACCTGCTTATTTTTCTATATTTATTTATTTACAAAGCCTGGAGSTGATGGAAGAATAAAAAGTTGTTRCATGTATTTTCTCTGTTTGTGTCARGCTTTCCCTGAGCCGAGCCTAGATCCCAAGCAGTGGCTGAGCCACTGCAGAAGCTTCTCGTGCCGGGGCTGTTCCTTCTTGATCTTCTGCACGATGGTGTTAATGGTCTGCAGCCGACCCTGCAGYTTCTCCTGCTGCTTGGTGCAAGCCTCTTCTGTGTGCACAGCCTTGTACCTCCCTTCATTCAGCGCCTGCAGCTGCTTCTGGTGCGCCTGGTGGGCCACAAGCTTCAACAGGTTCTGAGAAAACAACAACGGAAGGGGCTGTGACAGCAGGAAACACACACAGCAGAGAGCCACGGCATGGGCGGGACTGGTGTCAAGTGCTGTGACCATCATGTTGGACAAGGGAAGGACAGTGCTGTGAGTTCCCCATTTTAACAGCTGAATAGCACCCCAGCCTGCATCCTGGAGGGGTACAGACATCACAGAATTCCATAAACCACAAAAATTCCCATACACATGAGGCAACCCTCACCAGGACAGGGCTTCAATATGTCCAGTTGGCTCTTGGTGGGCCCCCAAAATGTGCTCATTAATGGGTTGCTAAAATGCCACTGAGCACATCCAGTTCAGGACTGTGCTGAGACAGAGTTGGCACTGTGGCASAAGAAGACCCAGCACTGCTGGCACTGCTGCAGAGGAAGAAGCAGGCTCTGGCTGGCTCCCATTCTGTGAGGAGGTGGATGTGCTCACCCATCGTTTCTCGTTCTGAAGACGTTCCATGTCCGAGACGAGGTTGGAAGCCTCAGCCTGGAGTTTGGACATTTCCTGCTTCTTTTCCTTAAAGGAGGCATTGAGGGTCTCTTGGATGATCTCCAGATCCTGGATGGTTTGGTTGCATTCACAAATGTTCTAGTAAATGGAAGAGAAGAAAACGGCAGCTTTCAGTTCTTTAGTYCAGCTGCATTGCTGACCATCCTCCCAGAACTCAGTTTTGGGGGATTTTGAATGAATAAATTTCCAAAGCCTGTCCCTGTGCTGGTGCAGGGTCTGTGCACAGACAGCCCTGTGCTCACCACCACGCCAACCCCAGCTGGGTGAGCTCCTGCAGCCCCACTTTCCTTGCTCACCTCCTTGGTTTCCCTGAGCTTCCTCTTCAGCTCTGGTTTCTTGATCTGGAAGTCGCTCTTGGTGGTTTGTTTTTTATCTACTTTGTTCAGAGCATCTGCCCGATTCGCTATCGTCTCTCTCTGAGAAACACACGCCTCCATAGCCCGAACCAACATCTCCTGCTGCTTCACCAGCTGCCCATAGCGGACCTGTYGTTTGCCAAGACACAAACCAGCCTCAAAATACCAAATGTTTACCAAGAGCACCAAGGGAAGCTGTCTGGGTGGCACATCCCACCAGCAGAAACCAGACCCACATGACACGAGCGCCTGCAAGGCAGATTTGGTCCAAAGCCAAACCTGGTTTGCTGTGTGTGATCTGGAAGGCAGAGGCCTGGATGATCAGCTTGTCTACACTAATATTCAAAATGTTAGTCTGAACCTCATTAGCAAGAGAATAAGCAGAAAAGCAGAAGCAGAAAAGCAGAAGCAGAAAAGCAGAAGCATCCCAACAGTGAAGGGGAAGAGCTGCTCTGCCAGGAGAGGGAACACTTCCCTAAACCAGTGATTAAGGTGATGCAATGTTTAGTAATCAACATATCTTTGCTTTTAAACCAGGATCACATAATCAGGTGGCTGGCTGACATACTGCTATTTAAATGGATTTCTTGGGAGTATCCAGGCTGCTAAGCCTGGCACAGGGAATGCAGGATGTGTGGGATGTTGGATGTGCTCAGTTCAGTCGAGCTGTGGGGGTTAGCAGTCCCGCCCTGGGCTCTGGAGATGCCACTTCTCCAGCCTGTTTCTCATCTCCTGCCTCATGTTTCAGTCACTCCAAGGCTGAGTACACTGTGTAGCTTCCCCTCCTCAGCCCCCTTTCCCAAAGCCTTACCTGCATCCTACGAATCTCTGATTTCATRTCATGGATTTCACCTTGTTCTATCAAAGAATCTGTTGCTTCCCGCATCTCCTTTGCCAGCTGGATCTTCTTCTCCCACAGCAGGATCTGATGCCTTCAGAGAARAAAGGGGAAGAGAAAGARAAAGCTAAACCCCCATTAACTGCCCACAGTTAATTAACTGCCCAGGGCAGCACACTCACTCTGATCCTGGCAGRGGATCTTGGCAACATCCAACTCACACATGCTGGAACTGTTAACACCAACACCCTCCCAGCTCCTGCTGGTTCCAGACACTGCTGAAACACCTTTCATTTTCTGTGTTTCARACATTCATTAAATCCTATCCCCTTCTCCAGGAAGGGCAGAAGTACATTTGCTGGTGCCAGGTTTGGTGACTGGAGAAGAACAGAACATGGGCACAGAAACACAGGACTGTGGCACTCTGGTACCTACTCTGCCTCTACCAGGCTGTTCAGGAGCCTTTCCTTCTCCTCAGTCAATTGACTGTGCCTCTCCTGCAGCTCCACAGATTCTTTTTCTGCTGCCTAGATTTGGGAAGAACAAAACAATACAACACTGTTGGGCTGAGAAGTTTTTCCAGGATCACTGTTTGCCTCTGATCTGAATGGGAGCCTGGGAATGAGGTGCCAGGCCTCAGTACCTTGAGAGAGTGCACAAAYTCGCTCTCTATGACCATTTTGTCATTTTGCAGCTCTTCAAAGCTGCTGTTGTTCTTGTTGATCAACATATTCAACTTTATCAAGTCATTTGACATGTTCTTCATGTGCCGTTCCACTTCCTTCTGTTCTTTTATTTCATGCTGAATTTCATCTGTGGGTGAACAGAAAAAAAGTCTTAGAATTCCCCTGAGCACTGTGTTGAACAGGGTTCAAAAGTGTGACAAACTGCTATCAGAGCTGGCAACACTTCAGGCAGAGCCATCTGTGTCCAGCTAAAATGTTTTTTCCACAAGCTCAAAAACAACAAAGGTTCTGAAGGAGATTCCTGTGGAAAAAAGTTGGGTTTGGCCAAGGAAAGTGCTGTCATTGCTGAGGCATTACCTACCCACTACTTGCAGACTTTATTTAACAAGTGTGACAGGTGACAGTGTCACTGGGGTCTGACTGTCAGGACAGCAGGATCAATCCTTACCGGAATAACAACATGCAATCAGCAGGAGTGCTTGGGCTGTTGGTATTCCTGCTCACACACATCCAGGAGCACTCTTTGGGACAGGTCCAGCTTTTCCCATCTGTAACCCCCCAATCCCTTCACAGATGAGCATTTTAAGGAGGAGCTAGGCACTGACTCACTTTCCATGCGCACTTTCCTCTGCTCCATGACGATGATCTGTTTCTGTAACATATCCAGTGAGGTGATTTGTTCCTCCCTCTCCCGTGTCAGCTTCAYCAGCTCCTTCTGCTCATTGAGCCAGTACTTCTGCAACGTCATCACCTCGGAATTGCATTCTTCTATCTGCTTATTCAGCTTGTTGATCTCTAATTCCAGTGGTCCCAGTTCTTGCCCCTGTAAAGGGCAAAGTTTGGGATAAATCAGGCAGGAGCTGCTGGAGTTGTTTACAGCATCTGGACATTGCAAAGTTTGCAGAGGATGTGCCACAGGATCCATTTCCACGTGGGCATCCATAAGGTCTTGCACTGCCAGGGACTGATCTGGGAATCACCCAAATGGGGCCAACCATCAAAYGACTGAAATCTCTCTGCCTGCCCCACTCTCCCCTCTTCAGTGTTTGCAGATTTTCCAACAGATCCTGTTTATTCATTGATGCTATTAGACATTTTTACCAGGTGCAGGCAAGTCCCTGCAGGGATCTGTGCCAGGCACACCCTCATTTCCCAATTCCCTTCACTGCACTAAGAGCTGTCTGATAAAYATAAACATAAACATAAACACTCACATTAACCAGTGCAGCTTTTCAATCACAGTGCTGGTGACTGAAAGTTTGAACTACCCAACACTTACTTTGATCAGGGATATCTGTGGTCAYCACAAAGAATAAAATCAAAATGGGACTGAAACATGAAAGTACCTACCCCCAGCTGAGCAAGAAGCATCTCCAGCTTCTTGTTGTACATGCAAATGATCCCTCCCTTCTTGTCAGCCAGGATCCTGGACTTGGCAATCTCATTTTCCTGGCAGGCGATCATTTCATTCATATACTTTATTTCTTTGTCCACCTCACTCAGTGATTTTTGGTGACCTGTCAGCCTGGAGCTGGTATTAGTTGCRTTCAGAATAATCTGGGCCACGTCATTCTCAACCTTGTAATAATGCAGCTCCTGGAAATATTGAGAAAACACATCACTGTCCCCTCCAGCCTCTGGTTGAGTTGTAATGCCACTTGTCCCAGCACAAGAGTCAGAGGATTGAGATTCTCCTCCCAGGTCTGTACTACAAGTCATAAGCTACTTACCCTCTGTGTACCTTTGCTTCTCCATCAATTGACAGGTAATAAAATATTTACCTCTGCAGAAAAGCATTAAAGAGCCTAAACATTCCAAAAACCTGTAAGAGACCTCACTCATCCCTTGTGCAATGACCCCCTGGCCAGGTTGGACTGTTTCTTGGACTGTTCTCAGAACTGAGAACTGCCTGGCATCCCACTCCATGATGAATCATAGAAATAAAAGTTAGTTAAAACTACACTACAGAAGTACCACATGTCCACTGTTTTTCTCCARCACATAAGAAACACTTTATTGTAAATACTCCCAGGATTCATCATTTTGCCCATTTCAGTAAAGAGCAGTGTGGTTTGTGTCAGGCCTTTTTGGCCAAGCTCTCTCCTGTACACCAGAATCCTGCAATAAGAACACAGATTGCAGAAACAAACTCAGCAGAGTTTCAGAGCAGACCTGAAACCAGAAGAGAGTCACTGATAAACCCTGCTGGGGTTAACCCACTGCTCCAGTGGCTCCTTCCCTGCCCTCCCAAGGTGRGGATGCCATACCAGGTTGCTTTTTCTGCTCCGAAGTTTTTCAGCCAGCTGGGAGAAGTGCTTTGCAGCTTTGCTGGATACCATCTGGTCCTGAAGCTTTTCCAAGATTTCACTCTCTAGCTGCTCTTTGACAAAAGTTCCCTTCTCCACACCCTTCCTGATGGCCAGCAACTCGTTCAGGTGACCAGCTTGGTCCTAAAAGGTTGGAAGACACAGTCAGGATCACTGCAAGTGTTTGAGGAAGGGTGTTCAAGTACTCAAAAGAATTCATCTTCCATGATCTCTGACCATCTTGGTCCTGCTGAGGGCCTCCTCTGTCTCATGGAGAACACGAGTGTAGGTGCCAGTTTGAGCCTGCAGRGCCTCCTGCTCCAGCAGGCACCGGGCAATCATTTTCTTTGTCACACTGGCATTGTTCTGGGACCGGTGCAGGTGGGTGACAAGGTTCTCATTTTTCTCCTCCTCTTTCCTGATGGACTTCCCACAGCCRTGGATGTCCCCTTCCAGGGACTTGAGGTCACGTCTGTAGTTGCTGGAGGGGCAAAGAGGATGGAAAATCATCACAGCCATGTACAAATTCCTCTTTTCAAACATGTTATTGCAGCCACAACTGCTCAAGAAGGAAGATCTTWGTAAGGGCTCAGCTGCTGTGACAGTGCAGAGTCAGCAGGAGATGGATGGAAACATTAAGATTTAAAGGTAAACGTGTGTAGGAAAATTAATTCCTTCTTTCAGTACTGTCCCACCCCCTAYTCCTACCAGGATGTCCCCATATAAAAGCAGATTGTTTGTTCTCAGAGAAYCAGTCAAGCTTTAAGGCTCCAGAGCAAATAAACACTTCCTCTRGCAACAACAGGGAGGTTTTCCTGAACATTTCCAAAGGCCTCACAAAACCCTGATAAGTGAGAGATAAATGCTTCCTGACATCCAGCTCTTTGGAGAAAGAGACATTACAGCGGTGAGGGAACTCTTAAAGGAATAAAATATGAATATAAAAACTCTAAAAAGCTTTACGAACCCCCCACATTCCAAGGAAGAGATGTTRGGATAAAGAAAACACCAACAAAGAACAGGGCTTCTTACCCTTTAACTTTATTATGTGTTTTAGAGCAGGAAACTCTTTGTAGCTGACACGCCCTGCCTGCACAGGGCTAAAACTGCCAGGAGACACTGGAATCCCCTCCTGGAATCCCTCCTGCCCAAAGCTGAGCTGTCCCCAGGGCCTGGTTTCAMACTGTACCTCAGCAGCTCCTGAGCAACAACATAGGCCTCGTCCCTCTGCTTCATTCCAGCCAAGCTGCTGTTCCAGTGCTCCATCAAGCTCTTTTTCTCCATGCTAATAGCCTGGACCTCCAGACCAGCCTGGGGAACAAGAGATGGCAGACAGGATGAACCTACACTGTGCTGAAAAGCCAAATTCATGTTAGAATGCTTTTTTTTTTTTTCTTGTTCATAATGTGCTGAGTAGAATCAGCTTCAACTCTGTTACTGGTTGATTGCCTCAGCAGCCCACAGAGCACAGGTCTGCAAGAAAAAGCTGCTGAGAAGGGCAGGACAAAGTGATTTACAGGCACTTCTTAAGGACAAAGGAAAAGAAAAAAAAAAAAGCCTTCATTCTTCCAAACAGGAACAAACTGTGAAACTCTGTCCCACATTGTGCACACCACGTGAGCATGGGCCAAAGGGGTCAGTCCTGCCAGAGGGAAATATTAACCACAAGAGAAATGTCCCCTCCTACCTCAGTGACTGCCTGCCGGGTCACTTTTGTGTCCTCTGTCTGGGCTGCAAGCTGAGCTTCAAGCAGAGCAATTTGTTCCTGGAGCTCGTAGACTCTCCTGGTGGACTGGTCTAGGAGAAGGTCCTGAAAGGCAGAGCCAAACAGTGCAGGTGAGTCATGGAATCTCAGTCCAAACCAACTGTACCTACAGAAATAATGTCAGTTATAAAAGGAATTAAAACTGGCAACTGGGTTAGAGTTTAGTCCTGCTGAAACTTTCCTATTCATACACAAATGGCTCACRAGTGCAGCAGGGACAACTTGCAAGGGAATGAAGCTTTTGCTGACTGTTTATCATTCCAGCTGCAGCAGTAAATTGATAGTTCAGCTCTGAAGCCACCTTCCCTCCTGTTGGCATGGATTACACTGGGCCACCTCTCCAGCTTAATAATATATATTTGAAAATCCTTTGTTGAAACACTCCTAAATCCACWGTTTTTCAACAGTTTGCTTGGAATTCTGCATTAGCAATACCCCGTGGATTGTGTCCTGGAAGGCAGCAGAGGGAGCTCCAGCACTGGCCGGCTCTGCTCATTCCCAAAGTTCACTTTCCATTGTGAAATTTGCTGTGATTCAGAATAATTCTAGMGACCTGAATCCATGATATTTGTTCATTAAATATCTTCCTTCCCCCACATGCTCCCTTCCTTGTGATAAGAGTGATTTACTCTCCTAAGGCTTGCAAAACCCTCTGGGCAGTGGGTGTTGCTGCCTAGGTGGGGGCAGGCATGGCTGCTTCTTCTTTTCAGAAAAACCTCTGGATTTTTTTTTTAATTATTTGAGAATAAGATCTCCAGGCATCTTCCATAATTCAGTCATTCTAACCTTCCTTCTGACAAGGCAGCACATCCTCCAAGACTCACTGCTGTCACCTGCATTTATTTATTTCAAAGACAGTTTTACTTAGTACCTGTTTTTTCTTTTCCACCTCAGCCTGGATCTTCTCTGCCTCAGCCCTCTTTGCTGTCTGTTTCATCAGTAAAATCTTGTGATGCATGTCCTGGTCCATGTTCTGCACATAGAAGAGCTCCAAGGCCAGGTTTTCAATCTCGGTCTGCAATGCAGAAACTGAAGGACAGGGGGCAAAATAGTTAGAGAGAAGTTTGTTTGTAGGGTACACCTTAAACAGAGATAAAAGGGAAAGAAATAGAGAATCCCAAAACAAAACCTCTCACAGCTTAAACCAGCCCTCATACAGTTCCACAAGCAAAGCTAAAGATCCTGGCAAGCAATTCCCAGAATCCCAGCACACAGAATCCCAGGAATATCAATGAAATTTTTCAGTGAGCGCGTTAATCCTGACTGATTAATTTACTGTATTTTTTAATCCAGTTCTTGGCTTAAATTGAAAYTAATTTCTCCACACAGCCCTAGAATTGGGAAACAGTGCCTCAGTCACCTTTCTTGCGTTCATCATCTGTGTTGTGACACATTTCCTTGTGAGCATCCCTGAGGCTCTTCAGCTCCTCCTCCAGCTGCCGGCGCGCTGCGGCCGCCTGCCAACAGCGCTTGTGGCTCTTCTCCAGTTCCACCTCCAGCTGCCCCAGCTGCTGCTGGGCTCCATAAAGCACCACCCCGAGCTCTTCTCTCTGCTCTTTGCTGGTCTTCATTGCTGTTCTCTGCASACACAAGAGGGAAGGAGCTGTCTCSCAGCAGCTCAGACAGGAGGGGGTGTGGGAAGGTAAAGGAGAGGCTGTTTACCAGCTCATGGAGGTCTAGCTTCACTTGCTCGATCTGCTTAGTGAGGTAATTCTTCAGGGCAGCCTGGAATCTGGTCATCAGAGGCTGTAAAGAAGGATGGCATTAATTAACTGTAACGTAYTTGTGTAATAGATTATGAAGAAACCTCCCTGCTACTCCCCCCACCCAATAAAACATTTCTGTGACACTGACACTTTTGTTCTTGCTTTAGTTACACTCACTGAAGCAAGGGAGAGATGTTAGATAGTGGGTATTTGCTGATGCCAAAAGTGAGAATGTTTGAAAGTCAGAAACGTGTCAGAAGAGCTACACGTGAGAACCCACCCTCTCACTTTGCTGCAAGGATTTGTCTTTCAGGGGCACTGAAGGGATCCCATTTACCCACTGCAATGCTCAGTTCTGAACCTGCAGCTCTGGGGTTAGGATTGAGTGACACAGTCACCAGTTAATCCTTTTTCACATGTGCAGTTGARCAGCTGAGCCACTGCTCACAGCTCACCTCACATGTTTTAGAGAAACACAAACATCAAGCCTGCAAAGAATGACAAGATTTGAAGACTTCTCACATGGTCTGGATCCAAGACGACCAGTTCTGTTTCTTCTTCTTCTTCTTCTTCGTCTTCTTCTTCTTCTTCTTCTTCTTCTTCTGTTTCCCCCATACTTTTTTTTGTCTCATGTTCCTCAGCTCCCTGCTGCTGGAATCCCCTTTCCCATCTTTGGTTGCCATGATGAACACTGGGTTCTCCTTTGCTCTCTGGACCACAGCCCACCAAAAAAAAAAAGGAAAAAGATAAAGAAATAGGACTAGATTTCATATAACAATGACCAGAAAGGGAGAAAAGCAGAGGCTGTTCTTGAGAGATGGTCTCAGGTGCTGTTTTGTTGCTGGCACTGGGGGATACCTGGCTCTGTGCTGGTGTCTGGCTCCTCTCCAGGTGCTCCTGAAGGAAGGGAAGGGGCTCCTCTTCCTAGAGCTTGCTGCTCCATGTCATCCTGTTCAGGAGAACAAGTGTCACATTCTGCGTTATCAGGGAAAGTCTCAGGCAATTTTCCTCAAAACATAAAATCCATCTAACTCTGCTTATCCCTAAACATCTGCTCATTTTAGCCATGAGACAAGAATGGTGCAGAAAAAGCATCCACACAAGGGCCTGATTCTCAAACCAGCACAGACACTGGCAAAGCTGTGCCCCTCTGGTTTAAAAAGCACTTCACAGACACACAGCACAGCAGCAGCAGTTCTGCTTCTGTCAGAGCTGTATGACCCCTTTGGCTTCTCTTTGTGCCACTTCTGGTTGGATTCGTGTTTGCAGCAATGAAACTGTGCCAGGAGAACGTGCACCTACAAATAATGTTCAGGCATTGTGTGAACTGCAGATCAGGGAATGGTTTGGGGGGGGATCCTACAGCTTTTCTCATTCCACCCCCTGCCACCAACAGGAACACCTTCCACTAGACCAGGTCGATGCAAAATTTTTAATGGCTTTTTTTTTGCTTTATATGAGGGCAAGGCTGGAATAATCACTTGCTTTACTTCTTGCTATTGAAGCTGCACCCAAGAAGGTGCCGCTCTGTAAGGGACTTGTGGGAACGGGCTGCCCCCATGTAAATRTTCCAAAGGGAATCACCTCCAGAGGAAGATGTGACAGATCTCCGCTTTCATCCCGCTCCGCGGAGCCCAATTCCCCCGCAGCCTCCTCCATGGCGCCGGGGCCGGGCTGGGCCTGCAACCGGAGAGAGGGTGAGCACCGGGATCAGCCCCGGCGGGCTGGGCACGGACACGGACCGGGGGAGGCGGGAGGAGCCGGGGCGGCGGTGGAGGGGACGGGACGGGACGGGATAGGATGGGATAGGACAGGCGGATCCCGGCCCGGTGCAGCCCCGAGCCGCAGTCCCGGCCCGGCCCGGCCCGGACTCACCGGCGGCGGCTCCGCCATGTTCCCGTTGCCAGGCAACGCGTCAACACCCGCTCACGTGACCGCCCGG